CCCCCACCCCCCGGCACAGACCCCCCTGCCCGTTACCTGACGATGACCCCAGGCCGCAGATCAAAGTTCTTCTTGACAATCTCCAACAGCTCCCGCTCGCTCTTCTGGGAGGTGCCATAGTGGAAGATGGAGATGGACAAGGGGTGCGAGACCCCGATGGCGTAGGAGACCTGCAGGGGAAGGCAGGGCTGTGGGTGAGGCCTGGGGAGGGGTGTCCCAGCACCCAGTGGGACCAGCCGTGACCCAGAGAAGCACCCACCTGGACCAGCACCCTGCGGCACAGCCCAGCCTTCACCAGGGACTTGGCGACCCAGCGCGCGGCGTAGGCGGCCGAGCGATCCACCTTGGTGTAGTCCTTGCCCGAGAAGGCGCCGCCGCCGTGCGCGCCCCAGCCCCCGTACGTGTCCACGATGATCTTGCGGCCTGTCAGCCCTGCGTCACCCTGTTGGGGACAGCAGCATCTCAACCCTGTCCACATTGTCACCAGTGTCATCATCACCAAGCCATCACCACGCCCTCACCGCCACCACACGTTATCGTGGCCACCACAGCCACACCACCTCTGCCACCTCTGTGCCATTCTCACCACAATCAAACCATTCCAACTGCCCCAACTGTGCCACTACCGGTGTCATCACCACCACGTCAGCACTGTCACCATGATGTCACCAGCCCTCAGCACTGAACCATCCCTGCTGCCATCACCGTGACATCACTGCCACCGTTATGGTGTCACTGCCAACACCACCATCGTGCCATGACAAATGTCACCGTCACGGTGTCACCGCTGCCACCACAATGCTGCCCCCAACAGTGCCCCCAGCTGCACCTGGGGCCCGCCGATGACGAAGCGGCCGCTGGGCTGCAGGTGATAGATGGTGTCATCATCCAGGTACTTGGGGGGCACCACAGCCTTGATGACCTTCTCCTTGAGCGCATCCCGCATCTCATCCAGACACACGTCCTCATCGTGCTGCACCGAGATCACGATGGTGTGCACCCGGATCGGGATCACTGCCCCGCGGTCCTGCATGTACTGCACTGTCACCTGCCAGGGGACACCAGTCAGAGGCCAGGCAGGGGAAAAGGGGGCTCCCGAGGGCTTTGTGGACCCACCAGCACCTCACCTGTGTCTTGGAGTCAGGGCGCAGCCAAGGCAAGGCTCCGCTGCGGCGCAGCTCGGCCAGCTTGGCATTGAGCTTGTGCGCCAGGACGATGGTGAGGGGCATGCACTCCTCCGTCTCATCCGTGGCGTAGCCGAACATCAGCCCCTGCAGCACAGGGACAACGAGGTCACACCCAGCCCCTGGCCACACCACAGCAACCCCACGGCCCTGGGTCTCACCTGGTCACCGGCACCAATGTCCTCCTCACTGCGGTCCAGGTGCACACCCTGGGCAATGTCCGGGGACTGCTGCTCCAGGGCCACCAGCACGTTGCATGTCTTGTAGTCAAAACCTGGGGGGACAAACGGGGCTCTGGTGAGCCCTGTGCCACCTCTGCTGCTGTCACTGAGACGGAGGCAGCCCAGGACACACCTTTGGAGGAGTCGTCGTAGCCGATGTGCCGGATGGTGTCCCGGACCACCTTCTGGTAGTCTACGTTGGCCCGGGAGGTGATCTCCCCCGCCAGCAGGATCATCCCAGTTTTGGCAACCGTCTCTGCAGGGATATGAGTGACGTCAGCACGGTGTCACCTCCATGTCTCCCACCTGCTGCCTGTCCCCTGGTGCCCTTACTCACCACAGGCCACCTTGGCATCGGGGTCCTGCTTGAGGTGGGCATCCAGGACAGCATCACTGATCTGGTCACAGATTTTATCTGGGGACATGGAGAGCAGGAGGCGTCACGGTGGCACGGGACAGCTCAACATGGCACAGCCCTTCCTTCCGGAGCCTCCAGAACAGGGATTTGTAGCCCCCATAATCCAGGAGCCCCCCCAGGGTGCACACAGCCATTGCCTTGTCCCCAGACTGGAATTCCAGGCATGTCCCAATTAAGCTCCAGCTCCAACTAAGGCTGAGCCCTGTGGCACCACTGAGGGGATCAGATCTGTATCCCAGCTTCCCAAATCCGCAGCATGCCAGCTTCCAGCAACTCTGCCTTCAGCTAAAGCTGCTGCAGCTCACCGGACACCCAGCTCCCTCCTGCTCCCAGAGTGTTTTGTGTGTGTGGAAGGTGGCTGGAGTGTCCCAAGGGCCACCCGTGTCCCCGGGACTGCGGGTGTCCTTGCAAGCGACCTTCCAGGCAGGATCTGGGCGAGGAGGAGACAGCGCCCAGCTGGGGTGAGGGGAGGAAGATCCCCCGGATGCTTTTTGGTGGGAAAGAGTAAGGAAATGGACCTCAGAGCCTCCTCCCTTGGGCAGCACGGGGGAGCCCCAGCGCAGCCGCAGGTTGTGCCATTGGATTGTGCATGCTTGAGCCAGAAGGAGCAGAGCTGTGGGGCCCAATGGGGATCCAGAGCTGATGGGAACTCGGGAGGTGCTGGATGTGCCCCAAAAGCGAGTGCCATAGTGGCCGGAGCCGAGAGGGTTCAGAGATACTGGGTGTGCCCAGGCAGCGGGTGCTGGGCGTCGGCAGCGGCCTCAGCAGATTAACGGTCATGCGCCCCAAACCGGCGACAAAGACCGGGAGAGACCGGCACCGACTGGTATCGAGCTGGGGGGGCTCCAACCGCCGCCCGGGAGAAGTGTAAACCCCTCCCCAAGCTAAGGCGAAAGGGCACATCTGGGTAGCCCCACGAGACTTCATCATCAGCCAAGCGACATCAGCGGCACCGTTGGAGGGCGTGGGGTGGGCTGAGGGCGACTCTCCGGCCCCGGGGCGTGGGGGG